CTGTCCCCGCAGTCGCAGGGGCTGGCGCAGTCCGCCCCCCAGCGGCCCACGTCGCAGGCTGCAATGCAGAGAGCACAAGCCAGCATTAGCTCAGCGCCGTCTCCCGCGCCCGACCCATCCCGAGCCACACCCAGTCCACCCCTGTGCTGTGCAAGTCAAGCTCTGAGGCAACAGGATTGCCAGAAATGAGCCTGAGGGAGGCCGATTGGAGATGACCACCTCCTGTCTTGATGGAGAGTGTGCTTGGGGCAGAAGGTAACCCACTTGCTAACAAATAGCTGCCATGAAGAAATCAGGTTTTTATTTTGCAGTCACCGGGTGGACTAAAAATCCAATTTGATCGGGGCTTGGAGAGAACATGTGCTTTTCTTACATGGCCCCTGACCGGTTCTGCCAAAAACCTTTCAATATTACAGAAAACCAGGTCACGAAGCAGAACAGCTCCCGCTCGTTGAGTATACTACAGCTGAAAGATTCTGGAGTACTGCACTTTTTTTGCTGGGGCAGGGAGCAGCAACAGAGGTTGTGTTGTGGTGCTTGGGGTGGGCAAGAAGACCTCACAGTGCAGGAGAGAAAAAAGCCCTGAGCCATCCGTACCTCTCTGGCAGTTGTGCCCAGTCCATCCAGGGGCACAGGTGCAACGCCCGGAGACAGGGTGGCAGTGCCCACTGTTTTCACACACACAGCGCAGTTGGCATCCTTGGCCATACCGACCCAATGGGCACACTACAAAACAATAAAAATTCAGGTGTTTAAGCAATCCATCCATAAGCAGCCTTTATCGACGTCTGTTTAAATTGACCCACGCCTACTGTAAGTGTAATTTGCTTTTATTTCCATTGAGACACCACAATTTGCACTGCATTTCCATACATTTCCCACGATTGTACGGCACTGAATCACGCTTTCACCTAATCAAAGAACATGTTTGAAAGAATGCAACATTTCATGGCTATTTAAGACAAATTTAGTTTCTATAACTTTTAAAAACATATAACAAAGACCTTTCTATTGACAAAACAAATATGTGTACTCAGAGCTGTTAAAGGAGCATACAAATATTTGGCTAAGAACAGCTAATACCAAGATATAGAAAGACAAACCTAGAAAATGGGACACGCTTGTGGCAGGTATTATAAAGTCTGAGCCCTACAGACTGAAAACTATAGAATTGGTCCATATTCTGTAATACGGTTTGCATTGATGAGCTGTGGATTTGCCTTGCCCCGTTCTCAGCTGCAGACAAAGGAAGTATCGCACTGGGGAGTTGCTCAACAAGACTTGGGTACGTACCACTCTGGCACAGTGTGCCAATGTACCCAGGTGGGCAGAGGCAAGTGCCATTCTGCCTGTCACAGGTCCCTCCATTCTCACAAGTAGGACAGGACTGCAGGCACCCCGCACCCCAGCGCCCCTCCTCGCAGTCTGCACACAGTGGAAAGCACACGTTAGCTGGCCCTGTCACACTCTGCCTCTTTCCCCTGCTGTTCCTCTCGGGGATCTCAAGGGTGACGTCTCCTTTCGAATGATTACAGACGACACGTGCCGCTGCTAGACTTTCTGCTCCGAAGGTACTCCCTAACCTTTTGGCAAAGAGACTTCTGGAAATACAGTTGGAAAAGATTAGGCATGTTATTCCATTACTACCTGAACTACAGAACCTCACAGCTACAGAAAACCAAAACCGCTGAGCGATCATTGTTCAAGGACTGAAAGAGGCAGAGTGCAAAGTATTTGCTTGAAAGATCGGAAAGATCAAAGCAAAACAAGCCAAATGGGTGTGCTGTTGAAAGGCTGCATTCTTTAGATCATTTTTAAGAAATAAAGGAACAACAGAGTTTGATAAGCATTTTTAATGACCTACAATAAAAAGTCCATTGACACAGATCTGAAGCTATTTTATAAGGCACATTTTGAGAGTGATTAATTGGCGAGCTCTCCTAATTCTCCCGATCAGTGTCACATCTACTCAATAAGATGAGAGGGATTCGGACATGATCCTGAAATCTCTGCAAGGGTTTTTGGTTGCATATTCTGTAATGTGTCTTCACTTTAGCCACACCCAGCCAAAGAAAACACAGGCTCTGTCTCCTCTGGAGTCTGACAGACAGATCTCTGGCACCAAAGGACAGCTCCTGAAATCCCCGCTCACATTACGACAAGATCAACAAGTTGGAAGAGCCTCTTTCTTCCGCCCCTTCCTCAATATTCTCCGATTGTGTTCTGTCTTATCAGTAGGGGAGTCCCTGTGTAAGGGAGCTGACAGCTCCACTACAGATCCCACATTGCTCCTGCTTCTAGGTCAGAGCTGGAAACAGATGAAACTCATTAGGACCCATTAGTACACTTCCAGTTGAGAAGAAAAATAAGCAATGCGCAGCTCAGCTGATGGCAAGCAAACAGCCTTCCACAGGAATACAACAAATGCCGCTTAACATTAAATATGTTGCTGCACTTAGTATATTTGATGGCAAATTGCCTTAAAAGGGATCAAATATAATATATTGTCAATCACATTTACTTTATATGCTTTTGACATCAGGGCGTCAATCAGTCAGACGAGGTGAATTTGGCCAAGACTCCTAATGCTGTCTGCTTTTCGCACAGAACAAAACTCATTCTCTCCCCAGATCTTGAAGATAACTCAGTAGACAAATTTAGACTTGCATGTTAGAAAAACTGTGCCAATATTCTAGTGATTCTACTGTGAAACACTGAATTTACTTTTGAATTCGTTTTATCTAGTCTTGATTTCCAAGTTATGTTGTATAAGCAAGTTAAAAGTGTTTTCTTGTTTGGGCTCCCTCTTCAAACTCCAAGACCAGAATGAATTGTGGGAAGGTGGAAACATGATGATGTCCATGGTTGGTGGACAGTGCCTGCTGGGAATTTTCTTTGGTCATTCTGGAAGGTGGCTTCTGCACTCTCATACAACCTCGTATTTTGAGGTGACAAGAGGAGACGCTCCAGTGTTTATCTTACACAGATATACAGTACAGTACCAAATGCCTACCAGCCCGAGGGTATTTTGTATCAGTAGTCAAATACGATAAATAAATCAGCAGCTACATGACAACACTCCACCTCTGCCATCACCCTCTCTCCCTCACATTCTGAGTTTCCCGGCTCCTCACCTGCCTCACAGCGCTCTCCAGTTCTCCCAGCTGCGCAGTGGCACTCTCCAGTCACTCTGTCACACGGAGCCCCCGAGCAGTCACAGGCCTGGGCACAGTTTTCTCCAAAGCTCCCTGCCGGACACTCTGTCGGACGAGCATAGGAGAGAACAAGGCTCACCAGTGACAGTGAGAAAAAGATCATGGTGGGCGTCATTCCTCCATCATGGTCTGCATCTTCTCAGAGCACTTTAGTTAATCAGGATGAAGTTTACACTGTAGCACAGGTTTCTAAAGAAACACCTATCTTCAGAAGAAGTAAATTAAAGTACAACAGGAAGGAATAACAAATGCAGTCTTAGTCCCATGCTAGGTGAGTGAAGGGGTATACAGTATCTAGCATCACCCAATTTCCCCTCTGCCCATCAAAATACTTTTGAGCAGCATTAATATTCAGACTTGTAATTTGCCCCCCCCGACTCATTAAGAAGCACCCCGGGCCCCTAAATTGTGTTCCAAAGTACAGCACATTCTATAACTTACTTTCTTTTTGAGCTGCACATGAAGTAGAACATTTTATTTGCAACTTTGAAAGTGTTTCTAAGCAGGTTCTCACGTTAAAATGACATTGTTTTTGATGCATTTTAATTTCTAAGAACATTCCATTTTTTAGGGCTAGATTTTCCTGTTTTTTTTCCTGCAAACCATTTTTTGAACTTCCTGAAACTACTTCTTAAAAAGCAAAGAAAATGTTTAAAATGTGAGATTTTTTTTTTAAGATAAGATGTAAAAGTCTGGCCGTTAACAAACGCATAGGAAAATAAGGCAAAAGTGGGAAAAAAAATGGAAATCCATCTTAACGAATATTGACTAATGACAGCACTTGAAATTAACAAAGATGCTTCTAGGGTCTGAGTGGCAGTTGGCACTGAGACCTAACGAATAATAGATCATTACTACAGTATAACTGATTAGACATTAATAGATAAGATACTAATAGATATTAATATAACAGATTATAGTAGATTATATAACAGACCTTAATAGTTAGGTTTCATATCTATCTCATACATATACAATGTGTAGGAGGTCTGGTTTGAAACATATGAGTATGTTTAAAGTTAGTTGGCCTAGTCAAACGACTGCATTAAGAAAACTGCACCTGGTGCAATGAGGAGTTTCCTATGGCGTTTACTGTATGTGTTCAGGATCACGATGAACACACCCGCGTGGACACCAACACAACACAATCCAGGGGGAGCTGGGAATCTTACAGGAATGCACCGTACACCTCCTGGAGGTTTCAGTGATGTCACTGTCCTCTGGTGATGCCTGTAGCTGTCCATGCCATCTGTGGGTTTTCTGACTTTCACAGCTATACTATGAACAGCTGTGAAAAGACAGCCGGTCGCACAGGCCGACTAACACTGCAGGAACTCTGGAGAGCAGAATTTCAGGAAGCTTCTCTCTTCCTACCAAAGTGGTCCCCTGGCACACGCCGTCTTTCGCAGACCAGGAGTCTGAGAGGCGGCGCCAGAGCAGGCAGCAGTGAGGCTGGCAAGGCAGGGGATCAAGGGCAGTCACACAAGTCACACGAGATGGGGAAAGAGAAGATGGATGAAATCGACCTGCCACCGCAAGGGAAGCATTTCCCTGCTGTGCCTTCCTATCTCGGGGTCAGGCCTTCCAAACCAAAAGTGTCTCAAAGCATATGAATTACAAAACAAAAGTTAAGTAAATGAGATGGAATTAAGGAAAGAAAGGGCCTACAGAGCTCCCCTCATTCCCCGTTGTTCCTAATTGATGACAGATGCACATCTCTGATCGCTTAATGGCTTCCAGGCGCGGGGCCCTAGAAGCCAGCACAGCGTTTCTGTAAAAATATTCCTGTTATTTCCGGTTTGACCTCCCTCTTCCCAAAGGGAACTCACAATTGCTTTTAAAATACCCCTGATTGGATATGTCCAATTTCCTTAATGGAGCCTGGTGATTAGAACAGGACACCTTGGCTCTGGGCTCCAGGTTGCTCCCGGCAGAAGGCAGAGACTCTCCACCGAGAGAGAGAGGAGATTTCGGTGGGTGAAGGACGAGAGTGAGGGACAGAGGCAAACGTCCACTGGAGGAAAAAGAATCTCACTTCCAGGTCTCTCCGGAGCCTGCCCTTCTGCAAACATGCCACTCATGTGACAATTGAACACTCTATCAGGTCAAACGCTAGGCCATTTAAAAGGGGTCATGGGTATATTTCTGCCCATGCTGTTTATTTATAGCAGCAGAATGGCCAGTCTTATTGAAGCCCAACAGAATCTAAACTTGTCCAGGATTTGTCTCGCAGAAAAACACTAACTAGTATTAAGAGATTCTGCTCCTTTTTATTGATTTTTTCCCTGTGGTCTTTGCGTGGCAATCCATAGTACATGGAGGTTTATTCACAAAACAAATTAATTAACTCCTGACAAAGGGCAATGGTCAAAGGGACCTAACTTTCATGCTCCCATTTAAGCATGTACTGTTTGTTGTGAACAGTGTGCATGGTTTGTCTCAGGAATTACTACAGATACAGATCTTAAGTTCTCATTCCCATAATACACAAGGCTGATGGGTGTGTGTTCAACAAATGTGCAACAATTCTATTTCATTTCCCATGTGAAACTCTCAACTTCAGTAGAGGCTAAAAAATGTCTTTTAAAAAAGGAGTCTGACCTCTGTCTCGACCTCCGACGTGTCATATGCAACAGTTCAGCATGTCCGTGGAAAAAAAACCCCACAAATAAACTCTGGATATCTGGCACAACTGCCAAAGCAAGTGCTTGATCTCAGAAGACTGGAATCTGTCACTGACGATGCCGAGACCACAGGCATCCCAAGATTTCACAGACACTAACAAGCAAATACAGTGTATTTATGATACAGTATTCCCTGGGAGAAACACATAGGAGTGCCATGGGGTTTGGACACTGGACCACTATAGCGGACCATCTGGTTTAGACGTTCCCAGTTCTTGCTGAAGTTACAGTACTACACAGCTGATGCAAACACCCAGCCTCAACAGAACTGCTTTCTAGGACCTTCATTTTCTTCCCAAACTGCAGGAACTATCCCGACCCTCGAGAGGCCTCAGTCTCTGGCCCAACAACGGCACAGTTAAGTGTCCCAGAAAGTCTTGGTCTGTCTGACAGCAGCTCAGGTGGTGCTCAAGCAATCAACTGCTCCTGGGCTCCCAGAGTATTCTATCTTCTTAGAAGATAACAACATTTCTGCGATCCTCTTGTTCGGTGATTTAGTGTTTCTGGTTATTATTGATTAGTGTATCTGGTTAAGTAAAGAGCTAAATCAGGTTGTAAGTTATTTTACAAGGTTGTACAGCTAGGCAAGGGTAAATGCCCACCACCAACACAACCCCCTTGCATCCAGCCATTGTGCCATCTTTAGAGCTGCACCCACCTTGATCGCAGTTCTCCCCGTGAAGCCCCGCGGGACACTGTCTCTTACACTCCCCTGTCACATGATCACAGGCCACGCCCGGCGCACACGCACACTTCCTCTTGCAGCTGGTGCCGTAGAAACCAGCACTGCATTCTGAAATGGCAAGCAAAGCCAACAAAACATAAAAATAAAAACAACAGGTGGTCAAAACTGCGTCCTATTCCTCTGTAGCCCCTAGGAGAGACCAAAGGATTAGGCTTCTCTTACCTAGGCTAGAAGAGAATTACAATATCTTTTTTAGAGCTAAATTTAAATTGTCAGAGAAGATGGTGACAAAAACATACCTATGGGCATTGGTAATACCATGGTTTATAATGGAACAGGTAAAGGTTTATTCCAAGCTGAAAGAAAAAGAAAAGAGACACAATGTTTTGGCTGTGGAGCGTGACACCTGAAGAAGGCTCCATAACCAAAACATGGTGCCTCTCTTTTCCTTTCATTATGGAATAAACCTTTACCTGCTCCTTGGCAGCCAGTGTATGCTGACGCAGCTCTCTACTGGAACTTCTTCAACCATGATTTATAATTCCTGTCTTGCTATTCTTAAAGACTAAAAGCACTAAAAGCAGACTAAACATAGCTCTAAAGTAAGCACAATCCTGACCTTTTAAAGCTGTACTATTAACAAATCTCTCTTTACCGAGGCCTATCCTACTCCCCCAGACCCCCTAACCCCTTGACCCCTCCGCATAGGTGCCGACCTTCTTGGCACGTGTTGCCATGGTAGCCAGGCTTGCAGATGCAGGTGCCATGGCGCCGATGGCACTCCAGGGTGTTTTGTTGAACACACTGACACTCCTCTGAACAGCCTGGCCCAAAGGCCCACTTCGGACATGCTGTAGAGACAGAAGCAATCAGAGACACAGAGAGATGAAGGGAAGAGGTTAGGTCTACAGCAGAACCCCCTTTCCCTGGAGATCCACAGGATTTGGATTCATTTTTAATTGAAAGGTAGAACGTACAGTTAGACGGATTTTCCATGTTTCAGCCTATTGACCATGACAGCAGTGTTACCTGTCTAGCTTCATCTTGTTAGATCCCAGAAGCTGGGAGCTCCTCCAGGGGGTTCCTGGAGCTGGTGTACCAGTAGGTGGACATAACTAATCACTCATGCCCCAGTAGGGGGACAGAGAGCTATAGGAGATGCTGGCCTTCACATGAGACATCAAACTTACAGTAGGTCTGAGAAGAAGGGAGATGGTGTGCTATGTCACTTACGCAGGTGGCAGAACCTCCCGTACAGCCCAGGGTCACACAGACAGGCCCCATAAGTGCGGTGGCAGCGCCCGTTGTTGGCACAGTTACACTTCTTATTGCAGTACTTCCCATAGAAGCCCTTCGGACAGCCTGCAAATGAGAAATGCCAAGTTTCACATCTACATGTTCAAAAAACTCTCTGTTCCTTTCTGAGCCCTTGACATTGAAACTGAACCCCTGTGAGCTGTCCAACCCCGGTCCTGAAGGGATGCCGTTTCTTTCAGGGTTTCATTCCTGATGGGCTCAACTCTTAACTGCTCAGTGCTGCTAAATATGGGCTTAACTGGGTCAGTGTAACAGCCTCTTCCCAGTTCTTAAAGATTTTTGTGACTTAAAGAGAACCTGCTGGACAGTGCCCTTCCAGAACCAGAACCAGGACAGGACTGATATGCGATGAAGGAACTCAATCTCAAACACTTACCGTCCTGGCACATGTCTCCACTGACACCAGGGGGGCAGCGACAGTGGCCGGTCACGGGGTCACAGGTGCCTCCGTTCTTACACTTACAGGAGAAGGAGCAGTTCCTACCAAAGGTGCCCTCTGGGCAGGCTGTGGAGGAAAGAGAAGGTTGTTTCTCAAAATTATTTATTTTCTCAGACGTTACGGCACGTGTGTGCAGGCAGTGTGTGAGGCCGGGACTCACTCTGGTTGCAGATAATCCCTGTCCAGCCATCAGGACAGTCACAGCCATCCCTCTCAGGAGTGCAAACTCCTTCGTTAGTGCAGTCCTCACAGGTCAGGCTGCAGTCATGGCCGAAAGTGTTATCCAGGCACACTGGGAGACAGAGAAGGGGAGATACACAGATGACCTCCTCTCATCTCCTACACTAGACACCACAAGAACTTTTCTCATTGCAGATTCCTATTTTCTTCAGCCAAGAATTCATTTCCCCAAAAGTTTGTAGTTTCCCATGTGCCCCTCAGTTCCTCCAAAGTCACAGAGCTTTTCCTGCTGAATTTCTGAATTGGACCAGGGAGAAAAGAATTCCTTGTAATTCCTTGTACTTACAGTTAGTTAAATTTACAAAGCAGGTCCTGAAGACATCAGACACCTTCCCAACATCTCCCATGTCCATCCAAATCCTCTTAAAAACATTTATTCTGTACACCCTTCTTGAGTATGGCAGGGTTGCAGGGAGTGCTTCGTATTAATGGGTCACTTACCAAACTTCTCTGACAGCGTGCTCTCTGCACAAAGCTCCCCCACGCCCTCCTCGTAGTCCTGGTAGTCTTCCAGGAACTGGGCATACTCGTGGAGAAGGGTGACATGAGGCTTCGGCCTCTCCACTGCCTGCTGCCCGTTCAGAGCCACCACAGTGTCGTTCAGGGCTGGCGACGGGGAGAGGGAGACAGGAGAAGCCATCAGAAAATGGTCACCTAGCACACTATACTGGAAAATACTCTTCATATCCTTTAAAGTCATCAATAACTATAAATATACCAAACACAAATTCTGATTTCTGTTTTCTTCAGTGTTTTGTAAGCAGTCCACTTCTAATTAAAATGTTCGTGTGAAGCCCTCAGCATGCTAGATGTATCTTCTTCGAGCCAATCTGTATCCATTTTGAAAACTACAACTACAACAAATTAAAACAAAATGGCAGCTCACACTCCAAAAGGGGGAAAGGGAGCTAATTCACAGGTTTTGTTAAATGACATAAAGCATCTGATCAAAATTGTTTTAGCTTTGATTAAACAATCAGATAGCAGACCAGAAATGTTTGACTCCAAACATCTATTGCCCTAACACAGTGGTGTCCTGATCCCGGGCTGTCACTTTGTCTGCTGGTTTTCTTCATTTCTTTAAAGGCCTACCATGAAAAGACTTGTGAGAAGCTATTAATTAGGTCTAATGAGGTGATTTAGGTTATTGAGGACTGAGTTAGAATGAAGGCCCGAAGACCAGGATTCAACACAAACCCGTTGTGGCTGGTCCTGTTGCCAAGACGATGGAAAAGGAAGTTACTGTACTTGTGTTGTTGCCGTGTTCCAGACTCTACGTGTGCAATTGTTGTGGGAGCCATGGAGGTGAAGACACTCCTGGAGAGGTGGGAAGTGGGTTAACTCACGGATGCAGGAGCGACGGTCCTCATCCAGACGGTGTCCAATGTTGCAGTAGCAGAGGAAAGAGCCAGCGGTGTTCTGGCAGGTGTGCTCACAGTCGCCGTTGTCCAAGGAGCACTCGTCCACATCTGCATCAAGCCCAGCACAGATATGAGCACCTTGGCAATACAGCTGTCCAACTGCACAAACACCTCCACCCAGCTCACAGCTCACTCAAATCAGAAAATGTGCTGGTCATTGCAGTCGTATTGGCTAAACCGGTGGGGCAAACCTACAGTCCCATGACCACATCTGTCCTGTAGGGAATATATCTAAAAATGCACTGTAGACTTTGAACTTCATTTAACAGAGGTATAGTGGGCCTCTTGGGTGGCTAGATCAGTGGTTCTCAACCTGGGTTTTCATTTCAGCTGAGCTCTAAACTTCAAATGCTAATTAATGTCTTAATTGATCCGTTTACTTCGTTAGACTTCAATTCAATTTGTCTCTCCGGTCAGTCCAGAGCTTTACCCTTCTTCAAGGGCACTGTTTCCAAGAACTTCAGATTCAGACAAAAAGGTCAAATTTACAAATATGCCTCAAACACAAAACTGAAATCAATGAGCCTTGATACAGACTAAGAACGTGGCTGGAACAAAAACCATAAGACACGTGTTCCTGCAGGACCAGGGCTGGGAACTACTGCTGGGCTAGACAGCAGTCCTGCTCTCTTGTGTGTGCAGAACGAGCTGTATGATCTTGTGTTAAAATGCAAGTCGTTCTAATGGCAGGCAAAGCAATTAACAAGCTACTGTACATAAGTGATCCCTGCAAGAGTCAGAGGAGTCTACCTACAATTCTAATTCTTTCCAGTGTGATGTCAAAGTAAGGGCTAGGATATATATTATGTATTTGAGCAGAGATTGATTTTGTGTGTGGAAGAAAGGTTTACCACACCTGGAATAAAATCCTCAACTCAGAAAAGTTAAGGGTCGATCACAGTGCATCACTAAAAGAGTATCCCTATTTTGTTTCTGTGAGCTCCCATTCTATTTATTGCAGCAGTGGACTGAAGTATTGAAGAAGAGCTTGTATTCTGTATATGAGGGGAAGACACCAAACCGTCTTGATGGACAGGCAGACAGAGAGTGGACAAAGACAACAAAACAATGGAAAGGCAGACAGGACAGGCTACACAGATCAGAGTACTATACTGTACCATCACAGCTGCAGCCATCGGTATTGAGGCGGTATCCTGCCCTACAGTAACACTCATATCCTCCAGGGTAGTTAGTACAGTCCTGCTCACAGCACGATCTTTCCCCTCCACATTCGTCTATATCTGCACGAAGCACAGTGATCCCTTGTTTAGCAATTACTGCACTTATCTTGTATGACTTCAGGAAAGCAAGTAAGTCTTTTTAACCAACTAGAACAACACTGTCAAATTTAAAAACACATGTTGGATTTTACTGAAAAGTGTTGGGCATCAGGGCTTGGCAGATGTGCCAGCACTACATGTCTGGAAGCCCAGGTGGAAAAAGCTCTGCATGTTCCCTGCGGTCAAACAGCACTCAGAGCCCTCCAGCAGCTTAGAACAGCCCGGTAAGTCTGGTGTCAGAGCAGGTGGGCCAAGCAGTTCTGGGCATCAACTGCATGAAACACGTCTGCACAATTCTCAACAGGAGAAAAACACGCACGACATTACTTCAGGTCTAACCTCCGAAGTGAAATAACTGTTTCTGAGATGTGTAGAAGCTGGACCATCGCATCTCTGTGAGAAATGGACAGTTCTCCAAAATTATTGAGCATTATTAGCAATGGCATTATGCAAGCCCTTCTCCTAAGTTTCAGAAGAGCAGTTACTGATTTACAGTATACATGTATACGTAGGTTGAAGAATCTCCCATTTATAAAAAATTCTTTTAGTCTAATTAAAGTCTAACAATATATAGAGCCCATATTCAGAATATGATCTTAAAATAGAATGCAAATCTTATATGCTGCTTTGATTCCTTTATGTATTCAGAGTGGGACAGATGTGTCTTAAAAGAGTTTGAAAATACTGTATATGGGGGTGGAGTTCATTGAATGCGCTTATTTTAACAAGATATTAATTTGCACATTTGCCAGTTCTTAGTACATCAAGGCAGCATTCGTATGCTCAAAAGATGAAGAATGGATTTTAAATTGATAGGAGCTTCCATGTCTCTGATTGACTTGCTTATGTTCATCTGTTAAACTGAGACCTTTTTGATTCAAGGCCACCGTTTCATTGTTTTACTTTATGCCCAACCTATTATTTATTATATTATAAATGGCAGAAAGTAACAGGCTTATTAAAATACTGTTAATTCACCTGCCACAGTTGGATGTCTTGCACGTACAGTACAGTAGTTGACAGATGGACAGCCCCTTACCTACACACGTCCTGAGGTCAGTGTCCAGCTGGTAGCCACTGTCACAGCTGCAGACTGATCCCCTGTTGGAATGCTGGCAGTGGTGGGAGCAGCCACCGTTGTTGGTCTCACAGCTGTTCACAATCTCCATCTCGATCCCTGGCAGACAGACGGGCACCCAGGTCAGTGACTGGGCACCTTAACACAGAGACACCCACCCCAGATACTGGCCTGTCTACACGGAGGAACACAGTGATGCTAATAAACCGAACGAGCGACTCTGGACCCACTGAACCACTCGTTGAAGAAAGGAGCAAGCAAACTGAAAAGATGTGAAAAGCAAACTGATATGGCCATACAGGGACAAGGTTGGATGGTAAACAAAAAACAAACTGTCCAGTATTGTACATGTCCAGTGAAGCTTTCTCTATTTCACCTGAAGACTATGTTCAGAAAACATTAAATGGCATTTTATTTTATGACTAATAGCTACATTTTCTGTACATTAAGACATGGCGTTGAGAAACAAGAGGCCCAGAAAGATCCTGTTATCATTCAGGAGAAACACAGGGAGTTGAACTTACTGTAGCACTGCCTGCCATCGCTGCCCAGCTCGTAGCCGGCGTTGCAGACGCAGGAGAAAGATCCGCGCGTGTTTCGGCAGTCATGGGAACAGACGGCCTGGCCAGTCTCACACTCGTTGATGTCTGCAACCCACATCCATCATGGTGCAAAGGAAACCGCACAAGGGACAAAACGAGAAAGTCACCATGACCAGAAATGTTCCTAGGCCACATTTAGGCAGAATTCTAGGTCATTTCTTAAATCTGAAATGCAGAATGACGTGTGTGACCACAAAGAAGCACACTGTGCCAGAAGTCCAGTCAGACTGTGACTATCCTGAGATGCACAGAAACTCACACGCGCCTGTTCAGGCAACTTACAGCTAGAACTGGATGAACAAATCTGTAAGTTATAACTAACCTATGTTAAAGCCATGGGTGTGCAGACAATGCTTTTTAGTGCATGGTTATTGACCAAACTCCCAGGATAGCACATGCATGGATGCAATGCAGAAACATATTCTGAAGGATAGTTTGGAAGGCCAGATCACCAAGCTTGCTGCCCCTTTCCTACAGCTGCCCCCAAAGAAAGGAAACACATGGCTTCACAGGCCAGACTCTCCTGCATTCATTCCAGCTTAACTATATGCACTAATTTCAGCGCTTTCCCAAGCTGTGGGGGAAAAAAAAGCAACAGAGCTATTTTCGAAACTGTGCTTTACATTTTCAAAGTCCAGATAAATTCCTGCCCAACTGGAAATCATATTTTCTTTCTATTGCATAAACACTGGAGCAAAAAAAAACATGTAAGATGTGTCTGAACCAAGGTTATTAACTAATGAAGTGTATAGCATGTAAATGGATTGAATGCTTACTCCATTTAGGAAGTGGCAATGAAATGACTACATAATTGTAGATGCACACGACTGCAGCAGATGGAGTGTGCCACACTATACCTCCCCAGCTTCCTGTTTCCCTTTGCTTGAGTTCGTACCTTCACAGTTCCTGTTGTCCCGCGCCAGCCTATAGCCAGCATGGCAGTCACAACGGGCCACTCCTCCATGATTGTGGCACTTGTGCACACAGCCGCCATTCCTGTCAGCACAGGGGCTCCTCACTGCAACACACAGAGGGCGCCAGGCTTTAGAGACCTCCCTGCCCGCTCCTGCTCTGCAGAGCCTGCAGTGGTGCGAGCATCAAGCTTGCCATGCCGACCCTGCAAATGCAGACGCCCCCCAGTACGGTATCACACTACTGCGTGCCAAAACCAAGGACATCCTGGTCGACTGAAGCCTTTTCAGAACTGTGGAATCACTGCTTGTGTTTCTATAGCATTTCCCATCCCATATCTCAAAGCTCTGAACATATAAAGGTAACCCACTTCTTTCTGCCTTTCGGTGGCAGCATCCCCCACTACACAGTGGAGCAATTGCATCACCAATCAGATTTGGATGAATAGGTTACTGATAGGTTACAATCTGGACAGTGGAATCGAGCCAGGACACACAGAAAATCATCATGATGATAAAACAACAAAAAAAGAAAACCAGAAAAGAATCTACTTCTTTTCCAGCATTACACCAGAAAAGAAAGTACAGTATAGCCATGCCGATTCTCATTCCTCTCACTTCCCACATTCTTGTGGGAAGGGAGGTGAACTGGTCAGAATGAAACTGAAATTGACAGAAGGGCGGCTGCTTTTCTGCATGTCATAAACTACCGTAATCACTTCCAGGACTGAGCCTAAGAACAAAGGTATAAGAAGCCAGACTTTGCTGGACTCCAGGTTACTTAAGATTATTACTGTTTGACAAACCATGACTGAACCTACAATTTACAGAGAAGCCAAACCCTGAAGGCTTGGAACAGCGTGAAGGTTGTTGACTGGAATGTGTCAAGGTCCACCTAAGATTCAGAACGTCTAATGCCTCTCAAACCCCCATAAAATAAATTCTTCTGCAAGGAGCAGCTTTCAGATGGATAGAAGGGAGTTTTGCATCTGAATCATACTTCAGACATCTCTGTATTTGTTTTTTACAGCCACGAGCTCCCATGGAGTGACGTGTTGCCCAAACAATTGTAAACTATTATGAGCTCTTGAAAGGCTATTATCCAAACACAAACCTAATTTTTCAAATCTAATCAACAACATCATGTAGGAAGTGAGGGACGAAATCAGATCCTCTAGAAGGTTTAATTGTAATAAATTCCCACAATTTGTCAAGAGTTCACAGACAGAATCAATCAGGAGGAGAGCTAAAGGTCACATTGACTACCAGCAGAGCTCCTGTCTCCACTTCTAACACAAGATCCTGTCCTCAGCTGTGCTGATTCTGTTGGTGTTGTTTCCCATAAGTCTTGATCAGATCCAAACCTGAGGGCCTTCTGCCAGATGCTCTCTGTGACTGTGATCGGTCCAAGCGAGTGGAAGAGATGACTGTGGTACTCAGGGGGCTGATGACACCACAAAATGAAACCTGTCTCCTGGCATTTCCCCAGAATGACTGAATTCAAAGGCATGTTTATACTGTAAACTCACTGGAGCTGATGGGCTGCCCAGTTCTGTGAGTTTTCTACAACATGCATCCTTGGGCACATTATTTGAAGCAACAGCACATGGACAGAATTTAAACATGGACTGGCAATGATGAAGAAAGTGGTGTGAGTAGGGGTTGGCTGAAGTATCACCTCATGAGGTCCTACCAGTTCCATAACTGCATTAATGGGGGTAGTAAAGAACAAAGAAAAGGCCTGTGCCCTTCAGACGCTGGGGTACAGACGCCCCCAACCCTCCAGCTTCTCAGCTTCCAACGTCGTGCAAACAGTAGGTGCACCTGATGATGGTTTAGAATGCTAGAGAAAAAGGAAATACTAAAGGAGCGGAACTTGTTTATGGCTCTCAATCAAACATTTCTGAAATTAAAAATCATAAAATCATTAATACAACAGTGAAACTGCTTCATCCTGCACGGCCGGTTCATTGTTTGGCAACGAGCACAAAATAAAATCAGTAATAATTCTGCAGCTGTCCATTCCGCTCTATTTAAAGTGAAGTTTCTTGGCGAAGGCTTCATGTTAACTTGTGGTGGTGCCAGTAGACCATAATCAGGCATGAGCAATTTTGCGGAAAAAAAGCAGAACTAAAGAGCATTTTAAAGCAAAGGAGCATTTACATCAATCTTAAAGGTGTATCTGTGCCATTTCTTCTCATTCACAACAGAGGAACTGGAAGTGTGTAATATCTCATTTGCATTTATTGAAATCTCTTTCGTGTGTTCCAGTTGTACCCGTTTCTTGTGCTCTATTAAAGTCCCTAAAGCACTGCAGAATTGTGCTGCTGAAAGACAACATGACTAGGAATTTTAGTACATGCTGAATGGCTAGAAAGCTTCTTTTCATTGTGGTCAACTTTTTTCAATAGTATCATTGTACTTATACCTCATATTTACATTGTTACTGTATGTCACAAGTTCACACAAAGTGTCTTATGTATTAATAATATTAATGACACTAACATTGCCCTGCTAAGAAATGCATAATTTCCAATATTTTGATTTGTTATATATTATATTATACATAACTCATACATTTCTTATACAGGTCAAAGTAAGGATTTTGTTTCTGCTGGAGAAAAAGCAATAACTCCTTGGCCTACAATGGTGTACTTTTAATGTTTATAATGACAAAACCAGCAATGTCATTTTATGAAGGCTCAACCGTATACCTACAGAGTGATTGCTGTGATCAGGAAGAAGGTATCATAATGAGTTCATGAAAACACAACCCAATTGCCAACAGGCACCGGGCTCAGAAAGCCAGGCCAAACAGAGAAGGCAAAGTTCTTCTACAGTATTTGGCAAAACTGTCAGCACTCAGGCACTTCTGTCTGGTTCAGCAGAATTGCAATATGTTTTTCCATCTGATTCTCTCTGCCAAATAGACTTGATTTATCTGACACTGTGGTGTGTATTTGTGCAATTATGTTTCATCTCGAGGCTACAGTCTCCAAAGTAGCCAAGATCTTCCTTCATAACTTTTTGCTGAACTATTAGACTGATCACAGAGTTGCTCGATCATGAAGACTGATCACAAAGCAAAGCCTTATGCCTCTATAAAAAGTGTTTTCCTGATATGTTTCCAAAACATTCAAAGGCTGCATCGGGAAAAGCATAGAAATATTGTATTGAGCAAAGTGAACAGAGGCAAAAACTATTTTAGGTCAAACAATGAGCTTCAACTTATATTATTTTCTTACTAAACATGTACAAGGGGAAATTGCCTCTTGTGTATTAAGGAGCAATTTCTTGACCCTCTTCTCAATCCCTAATCCTTTCCTCAGCGGCTGACACTGTCAGCGCCCTGACATCGTTTCTGATACTTTGGTCTGGATAAAACTGAAGAATGCAAGTAAAACACCCCTGGAACTGTCCAGGGCTCCAGGCGCACACACACGGAGCATGCAAACCTCAAAGCTGGACTGCTTTTAAGACGCCTAAGGGGTAGGTAAAAATGAAATTCATATTAAAGAAGCACATCCTGTTATTAGCTACAGCCCAGATGCATTGTCATCTACTTGTACCAAAATATATCCTACAGGAAACAGGCTTCTCATTTGGTAATTTATGTAGTTAACATAATGGTTGCTCAGTGTACTGCTTAGCCCTGAGATGTGATTCAATTTAGGCTAGTTTTTTTCATCCTGAAAAAAGACCCCTCATTGGCTTGGGTTCTACTCACATTTGCAGTGTTTGCCATCCTCTGTCAGCTGGTAGTTGTGCCTACATTGGCACTGATAGTGTGCCAGGGACAGCTGAACACAATCCTGTTCACAGCCACCGTTACCAATGGCACAGGAGTTGACAGCTGAGAGAGAGACGGGAGAAGAGAGGTGGGAGTGAGTGGGCTTCTCTGAAAGCAAGAGCAGTTATACAAATGATCATTTTCTGGTCAGTTTAAGCAACAAACAAAAAAAAGAGACTGTACACTTTTAAGAGAAACACATGCATTAACAACAACAACAACAACAACTTAAAACCTCCAGCCAGCTATGTGATATCATTTAAAAAGAAGTGAATCTGTTTGTAGTCAAATATGCATGATAAGGGAAAACAAAGAAGTGCCTAATAACTTGTACAAAGCACTATGGATAAATGGGATCAAAATGTTCACTACATATCAATTACATATGCAGAGCTGTTTTGTTTCAGTGTGCTTTCCACTGAAGTCACTGCACTCATTGCATCTACTATTGTACAATCTATAATAGTTCCAGACAGGCTAAAGCACTGTTTTAGCTCCTTCATGGGATTGTTCCAAGACAATAGAGCCTCTAAGGTGCAAGAAACTTAGAAATTAGACAAGCCCCAGTTTAACTCGAACACAGTTTTCAACAGAGGAGCAGAAGCAGCCCATTCTGTGAGGGTGAAGTGTCAGTTCTTAATTTAACTTCTAAAGAAAATTCTCAAACAAAAAATAATAATGTGTCTTCTCTCCATCAAATGCTTGGAATTTTGGTGATCGGTGACCCCGTTGGTTCTCAGTGTATTCATAGTGTATTCATAGAGATTAACATCTTAGAACTGGGACCAAAGCAAATCATGAAAAATACCCCTACAAACTGCTTTGCTCTGTGTCATTAAAAAAACATCTGATGACTCACATAAACGATCAGGCAGCAGGAGAGCCTTCAGTGTGGATGATGGCTAGAGAGACCTGTGTGTGAAAGGTAGACTCTGCCAAGGTCAATCTTTTGACATCACCCTTCTGTTATTGCTACAAACATCTCACCATTCCTTTCTGGTTTGAAATATTGAACCTCAGTATTAACCTCTTCAGTGAGTGAACAGGAGAGTCTGAATTTATGGCATCAGACCTGTACTAATTCAGCAGAAAACAGCAGGGACGCTAAATCCAGCTTTCCACCCCAGGTGGCGCATGTCTAGATGGCTTTCCAGAAATCCTCATTACAGCCTCATGAACACTAAAACCAGGGGAATGCTCAGAATTCTGCTTGTGCAGTGCTGTTTTGCAACTGCTTTTTGATTCTTAAAAGCTATTGAATGGTGCAGGTTTGAAAAGCGCACCCTGAAAACAGCTGTTGAATTTAATTCACTGGATGGGATCAAACCACGGGTATATCTGAATATGATTCTGAGTCAGGGTATGGTGATCAGTGGTACCCCAATCCCTATGACTATGGCTGTGTTTTGCTCTTATTGCTGTTTGAAAAGAGAGTGGTACATCATTCCATTCACCCTGGTCTAATTGCAGGAAACACAACATGGTTTCTTGTCTAAGCTGAGAGCAGCGTGCTGGGTCACCACAGAGGCCAACCTCAATGGCACACTGCCTACAGTATGTTCTTACTGTAGAGGCACTGGAGACTCCTCATGTCACACTGTCTGATGCCTTTTTTTTTAGTTGGAAATCAGCTATAAGAATGCACATTTCATGGACTACATCTCTCTAATTCGGGGGGTGGTTTGCAGTCATTCCACCCTGCCTTGTTTTCATATTGCTTCTTTCAGAAAACATGGCCGTGTCTTCTTCTAATTAACTACAAATGGCTGACAGAAAATTGAAATATCAGAAATACTTGAGAGAGTATGAAAAAGTTGGTCAGACCAAATTTTGACTATGGATGCTGTTGATACTGAAAATACTGTAGATTTTGAATAATTTCTTCTCATGTAACAGCCTAGGATTTACCGTAGTTATATCTGTATGTTCATTCTATAATGAAGGCTACTGTTTAAGCATATTTAAACTTTTATATTAACGGTAAATCTCAAAAGTCAAGCATAAAATTGAGAAAATCTCAATTTCAGACTGTAGGGTGACTTTGTCAGGGGTTGAATATTTGGCTCAGAGCAGACAGTAGAAAAACATGCTATCAGCATTCCACGATTAGAAACACATTATTAAATCCATATTTCAAGGCTGCGAACTGAAATCTCTTTTCTTTTTCCAAACAGAAACGCTTCAGGGGTCCAAAGATATGAACTTCCTGTCACCTTCAAGAGCTAGCATTCCTATCAGTGAGATTCTGTCAGATCACACTGGGACTCAGGGGACAGAAAGTGCCAAGCATGTCTGGGGGCAGAAGATTCTACCTGAGAGGAGTGGTGCCAATCCTGTTGTCATCAGATTTGAGAAAAGATGTAAACGACCTTGGCTCTTCCGATTTGTGCCTGAGATAAATATTTTAAACTCACCGGCCAAAATACTACAGAAAAATAGTTCTCTCGGTGGCAGACAATTTGAGGTTGGTTTGAGGAGCATGAATACCCGAAAAACTGGATCTCAATACAACTGAAAACCACTGCAACCTGTGGAATGTGCAATTTAATCTCACACTCCACTACTCTCATGACAGCAGTATGAATGGGAAATAAACTTCATGTGTTCATGCTTACAGAAGCTCAGTATGCTATTTGTAAAAAGTTCATAATATTTTGGAAGGTGAGGGTAAAACAACTTTATTACGTAACTGACAAAGTTTCCAAAGATTTAAATCATGTATTAAGATGAACTAAACTTTCAATACCATATTGCAGAAGAGTCGGGGTGGGTAATGACATGGAGTACCTACCTGTATGTGGAAAATGCTATTTAGAAGCATATCATAAATTGTAAAAAAAAAAAACCTCCAAATGCAATCTGACATTTAGAAGTCTTTTGCACCCCCTTCCTACTGGACTGCACCTACCTCTTCAGTTTAAATAACTTCTGTTTCTGTTATAGAAATGGCTCAATATGTCCCTGAGGCCAGCTCGAACTAATAAAAAATAAACTAAACTGGCCCAGCAAAACCTCTATAAATACTGCATGGCAGAAATTCACAATGAGGATGCTAATGACATTAGCCTTCTCCAGAACAGCAGGGAGCATGCTGTCCACACCCACTGGCAAGCACAGAGACATTAGCCGGATTTCTCTCTGAAGACTGGCCTCAGCACTGAGCTGGCACTAGATTTGCAGTTGGCCTGCACTGCCTTTCAACAGGCACTAACAGCAACAGAAGAGCTCAGGAACTGTCTTGGGAGTTTTGCTGTAATCTGCTCTAAGTGAAATTCCCAGAGCTATCAGAGGAAATACTTACGCCTCTTTCTGCTCTAACCTTACTGAGCGTCTATGCCCAATTGCACATTCTAATTCACAGGTAAAGCACATACATAAGGCACTTAAAAAAAGAGTCCTCACTTGTAAATGAGGCTGAACTATAATTCAAGCACCTACAGAAGCAGTGGGCGGAGCAGTGGCTCTGTGGGCGGAGCAGTGGCTCTGTGGCTAAGGATGCGCGCCTGTGACTGGAAGATTGCAGAGGAATCCTACTCCGTTGGGCCCCTGAGCAAGGCCCATAACCCTAACTGCTCCAGGGGCGCCGTACAATGGCAGACCCTGCGCTCTGACCCCAAGCTTCTCTCTCCCTGTCTGTGTGTCTGTGTCTCCATGGAGAAAAGATGGGGTATGCGATAAGACGAATTCCTAATGCAAGACATTGTATAGGGCTAATAAAGAAACATTATTATTATTATTATTATTATTATTATTAGAAACAGACCTCCTTTGTGTGGAGCTGATTTTTTCTGGTACAGTATGTTGTAACAGAGCCAGTTGTAACAAGCCTAGCAGTTCCAGCTGACCTGCCACTAGAGCCCATTCGCCCACCTGTTACATGTAAATACAGTAGGTTAACAGGTCCAGTTGATTAATAAGCTAATCGCCGAAAAGAGTCATATTTTTTGCATGGGTTTCAGTTCAGACTAAGTTTGGAACAGTATATCAACCCATTTATGGGTAGAGTTGGTAGTGGATTGTGTAAAAGAGGCGATTGTGTCAGATATTCTGAAGACTTTTGGGTTAAATAAATCCTCCTCACACAGCATCTCAGTTTTCCGTTGTGGTTTGGCCACGCGCTCAGAGGTAGGCCTGTCACAGTATACATTATTCAGCTCTCAAAAAGTGACGTCAACACCCCCTGCTCTGCCCCCGGCCTGTCCTGAAAATCCCAAACGAATCCGAACAGACCGACAGGCCGGCACCCCTCGGAGACTAGTCACCCCGGGGGCCAGTGCCCGTGACTGCGGGGCGTGGTCTCTCACCGATGCAGGTCCGGCCATCTGTGTGCAAGCGCGAGCCCGGGTTGCACTCGCAGTAGTAGGAGCCCCGTGTGTTCACACACCGGTGCTGGCAGCCTCCATTGTGAACCTGGCACTCATCAACGTCTGCAGAACGACACAGGGGAGGGGCACAGGAAGCACAAGGGGAGAAAGACATTAGTCAAACTGCTGCTGATACTGTTTTACAACAGGCTACCCGGCAATGTTTTTGAAGCTGATACCCTAATTTCTTCCACGAAATGGCTGAATATGTTTCCTGGACTAATTAGTTACTAACTACCAGACTGGTTGGGCCAAATGGCTTCCTCTCGTTTGTAACTGTTCTTATGTTTTTTACTATAAGAAACAACATTTTTCACCTGGCAGAGGCCTGAGCTGCAGCAATCATCTGAACTGCGAGGCGCAGAGAGCAGAAATCGAAAAGTCCCAGTGAAGGTGGTTGTCTCATTCGCACACAGATCGAGACGATAAAATTGGCCCCTACCGCCTCTCATAAGAGGCATTTAAATGAGGACTTGTAATGCTTTTGTAGGATGGATGGATGCCAGATCGCTGATGCAGACTCAGTATTTATAAGCATCCGTTTCCCTGTGGATTTGTATATAAGTAAACAAACAATCAGGCTGTTTCTATTCTGGGAGCAACAGCACAACATTAAAATTATGAAAAGTCAACAGAGAAGATGGCGAGACCAGTCAAAATAAACAGGATAAATCCCTGGGACATGGGTCATAACAGAAGTTGCCTACTGGACACAGTCTGACGGAGGCTGTTTTGAGATCTTTCCTTTCCAAAATGGGAAGAAAAATGGTATCTATGAAATATGCATGTCTTATAAAGGGATTTGCTGAATCACATTCACTTGGAATCGACTCTGCATCACAGGGTCCGGGGTGAGCTAATCAGCTATTTCCTTTTCATAACAGCCCCTGAGTGGCCTCATACAGGACCTGCTCCCTTCTCAACGCACAGAGCCGCCGTTAAAACACTAACATCAGCTTCACAGCCGCAAGGAGATACAAATGTGCTCGGTGGTGGAAAGACAAGTGCAGCATCTCCCAGGACGATTTTTAGGCCCCCGTGGAGAAGGGAATTGAGTCTGAACCGTATAACTGCTGCCAAGGTGCACAGTCAGCATAAAGCCCTCTCAATATCCCCATTGTGTGTTGTCCAATTTAAATAAGTCTCCGTGCTGTCGGTTTTTCCTCACACACTCTAAGGAAACTTTTGGTTTAGTTAGGGAATGCTCAGCATCATAATATTAAACCCATAAGGGTTGATGCTCATAAAATCCAAATCCTGACAAAACAAAAGGTGAAAAAAACAATATTTCCATCTATTATTATGACCTAGCACTATAGTGAATTACAGTGAAAGCACACCAAACTGCAACAACTTTGGTAATAGGAGGTTATTATTATTTTGATGATGATGATGATGATGGTCTTTTGGTACAAGTAAAAAAAAAATGAATCGAGCAACAGCTAAGTGCAGATTTGCATTGCAGCCCAGAAGCACCCTTGTCGCTCATTGTTCAAGAGCTGTTCATCTGCAGGTTGTGAAGCACGCTCGGACAGACCTGTCATGGGATGTGCACACAATTAAAATCCCACATTACTCATGTCACATATTGAGTAAAGGACCAACCCTTCCGATCCAGGCAAACTGCTTATCTAGGTCATTTACTGAGCACACTTTCCCTCACAACGGTCGGAATTCTTGAGCTAAGGCATCCTATTTACAGTATTTGTAAAGATAACCTGCTAAATAGCTCTTTTGCCGCATCTGTCAAAGGGTGTCTGACAGAATACACCCTGCCACTTTCGCATTTCTCACCTCAAAACCTGAGTACATAAGTCATCACCTTCCTGTGCTGCCAATCCCATGTCGCCTAACCCCAGGACTGAAGGAATTCGGTGTTGCTTGAGTTATTGTAAGTCTTCCACACGTGCAAATGGAAACCGCGATGAACCACCGCCATCCAACCATCACCCAGTTTATTAGGTCAAAACTGTCTTAAGTGAATCAAAAACTGCCAAGAGGTCTCACTGGGAAATGGTGTTATCAGGCATAAAGAATGTGAGGCATTTCTTTCTTCCTAGCGTAGCTTTGAACTAAGTCATCTCGGCCTCTGCTCAGGGACCTGTCTGTCATTGACATACTCAAAGCCTGAGCATTCTGCACATTCTGAAAGCAAGCGGCCTGAGAGCAGAGGTACAGTATATGAGATTGAGCCCAGGCTGATAAAGATAGGAGTTAAAGCCTGCTGATAGGCTCTGTCATCTTCTAAGCTGCTGGGCTAGTGGCTGAGACAGCAACATTACTGCTCCACAGTTTGACTTAAATGGATACTTTAAAGTGTAGAGCTTTCACTGTAGATGTTCCTAATGGAGATATTTCAAAACTGCAGAACTACAAAGATTTATTTAAAAGATTCCTATTTTAGAGATCTGATTTTACTTTTTTTTTAAATTAAAACAGTAAAACACTTTGTACTAATGGTTCCTTGGGATTCTTTATTACAGTGAGATAAGCTACAGTATATGCAGTGGTTCTAATTTTTACAGTGCTGGGGTAGGACTGGGATTTCAAATGTTTATGGGGCGTTCTGTAGGGTCTGAAGAGTTCTTTAGATTTCAAATATGAAACAGGCTTTCATGTGTAACACAGAGAGATAGAGTAAAAGGATCCATGCTATGAACTCTTAATTTATATTTTGTTGTTTTTAAAAATAAAATGTTTTCCTAACTGAAAAGAAGGAAAACTTGTTACTGGAGTCCAACATCTTAATGGTTTTAATCCTCATACTGGCATTAGCAGCTCTACAGAGACGTCTATGGAACCAGTACAAAGAGAAAACAAAGAACAGGATGGAATCCTTATGAAAGGTCAATAAATGTACAAAGAGTAGAAAACTGAAAAAATGAAAAATATTGTGCTGTGAGTAAAAATGAGGCATTTACAGTATTAACGGAGAGAACCTATTCATACTTTTTACACCTGGGTTACAATCACCCACTGAAGTCACTCATGAAAGCAGCTTTGAATTAAACATGCAGCTCTTCTCTCACTCTAATAAGAGGCATTAATCTTTTATGAGGACACAAGAATCTCCTGTTTACTTTTTCATAGTCTATGGCTCCAGATGTACTCTAGAAAGTTTTTTATGGCATGCAAATGTCATACAGGTTTTAAAACCTTTGTTGCTCTTCAGTGCAGTCTTAGACAGAAAAGAGTGGGACACCTGTGTGTTGGAGAATGCAGGAGAGGCGTGCTACGCAGAGAATGTGCGTCACCATCTGCACATCGACTGGCGAGAGTGCAACAACAGCTGACAACAGAATCCATTTCAAATGGTCCGACTGCTGAACAAAGGAAGAAGCTGTTCACAAATAGAGGATTAAAGATCAGTTTCCATATTGCTGAGCCCCAGAAGAATTCAACTATGTGCGTCTATAACAGTGCTACTAGTGAGATACCTATCAGTTATCTGGTCATTAGCCAAGGGCATAATGATTATGGTCTTATAGCTGTTAGCCATCAATTACTGAAGATAAGATTTCAAAAGGACATTGCTTTGTGCTGACCTTACATGCTGGGAGACCTGTGATAATGCGAGTGATAATTCCCAAAGGTACACTGTAAAGGATGGCTCTTGACCAATCTGTGAGCCCATACAATTAATTGTCTCACTGAAAGGTCTGTAAATATTAATCACCATCCTCATCATGGCTCATGTTCCTGGTCTTTACCCTACTAAGCCAGTACGGAATATCTCACAGGCACATTAAATTGTCTTATGAGGGATTATGGTGAAATAAGTTTTTGTTCAAGCTCAGTGGTGAAGGATATTCGTTCTAAGGATCTTATTTTCAAAATGTAAATCTGCTATAATCCTTGCTTGGCTGCTGATAGCTGATGCGATCAGGGCACAGAGTTGTAACAATATAAGTATAAAGGTGAACTTAACTGTAAATAAGCTAAGAAAAGAGACAGCTGAACCAGATTTTTCCCCCAGGGTAAAGAGACATTTACAGTAAATAAAAGCATTTACTGTATAATACAAATCCTGTGCAAATGCTTTTCTAGATTGACTGCTCCGAGAAAAGAAGATACAGATGAATTGACTGAGTTCAGTGATCAGTTAAATTAAAAGTTTATTAGCTGTGTACTACTGTATATTGAGGCAATAAAATCATATCTGACATTTCCTACTTATTAGGGTATTTTTGGAGGCATTTAATTTTGTCTATGTTTCAGCTGCTTGATCCTTTATAGCACAACCCTTGCTCTTACAAATTGCTATTCATGATCTCATTATTATTGCTGGACTGACTGCCCTTCAACCATTTTCTTAATTTGCGCATTAAATCAGATAAGACTTAATGGAGTCCAACTACTATTAAGCGGTAGCAGTGATTGCAGTAATTGTGGACATTTCAATTCAATGGTTTTTAACAGTTGTTTTGGGATTTCTGTTTACCACACAGTAATGTGCCATTAAAAAAAGTTTTTCAATTTTGAAATGTGCTTTCATTCGAGGAGTGCAAATAGCAGCCTGGAAAACACATGTGGCACTGTGATCACTTTAGAAAAGCTGACCTAATCCAAATCCCTTAATTCCCCCAGATTGATGTCTCTTTTGCCCCCTGGAAGCAAGTAAGACTCAAACTACATTGTGCAACAGTTTGATCCATTTCAGATATTGTGCACTGCAGACTCCTGTTCAAATTGTGTTGATTAAGCAGAGTCCGATGTCCAGTATTCATATAGTTATATATATATTTTACATTTATTTGAACATGTGTAAATTCATGTGTTATTCAAAATAATGTCTTATGCATTAACTGAATGCCTGGTTTTGTCTTACAATAAAAGCTTACATCTTCTAAAAGCGTAAACTGATCAGAACTGTTATTGCAATGGAGATCTTGCTTGGTCTGTGCAGAAATCAAACTGTACAAACATATTGTGGCTAACAGGAATGGTGTGTAGGTGAAAATGTGTAGTTTAACATCTGTTGAAAACATAATATAACGCACCCTTCTGCATTTCCCTTTGCATGCTTAAAACAGGACACAGGAAGCAGAATTCCTAATCAGAAC